AAGATACTTGATGCTAAGCTTCTGTCTGTCAGAATAGTCTGGCTTTTAAGAATGTCCTTTGAGGCAAGTACTATTTGAACTTTTTGGACAGTTAAGTGTGGAATCTTGAACTGCTCTCCTTGTATGTTTAGAGTACAATCTTGTAGAGTGACTATAATTATCAAGTTAGGGATTGTTAGCTTAACATGGGCTGCTGTGTGCATTCTGCCATGGTTAAGGGCATCTGTCACTAAAGCAGTTGTTTCTAAGATGTGGAATGTTGACTCTTTCCCCATAGACTTTTTATTCAGTGATGAATGGAAATAGCTCTGTGACTCTACTGTGACTTGTGCTCAAATGCACAAGTTATATTTAGTTTCTGGAAGCTATGAAACTCCGAAAGGGGAAAGATGTGCTAATAGAGTCATCCTTCAAACCTTTCTACAGAGGTTTTGCAACAGTGGCTAAAAATGGGAAGAATTTCAAGCTTGAATTTCATTTATGAGTGCCTGGCATTTTCTTACTTGGATATTAGAGTGTTGCTCTTTGTAGAATTAATGGTGGTTGTAGGCATTCAAAGATCTTTTAATCTGTAGTAAGTGTGCTTGTGAGAGTTTGGACGCCACTCGTAGTTAGCATTCAGAGGTATTTTGTTGAGTGAGTACATGAAAAAAGATACTCTTTAGATCAATAATAGGGGACAAGTAGTGAAAGAAGCACAATGTATGTGGTTTTCAGTTTGCCATGCCTACCAACATGTCTGACCCATAGAGGCTCAAAGTGCTGAGGGGCAAGCGTAGTCTGAGCAAGTGTAACCTGATGCTGTGCTGGAATCTGCTCTGCATGAGACATGCATGCTCTTGCGCACTGGCCTCCTGTGTAAGCATAAGTGTGCTTGGGATGTTGTCTACTACTGCGCCTTCCTTCATCAGCTCTGCCAACTTGTGCTCAGAGGACACTACTCTGCAGCGAAGATGTCCTGTTTGCAGAATTCTTGGTCCATTGACTCCCCATGGTGATATCAGCTAGAGGAGTTGGGTCTTGGACTCCTGCCCACCTTCTCTGTGGCCTAGCCTTAGGCTGCTTCCACCCTGCCCTCAGCTACAGTGGTCTGTAGGCTCCCAGCAGAATGGAGGGAAGCCGGCCCTCTCATTGGGGTTCTGCTTCTGCTTTGACAAAGGGAAACTGCAGACTTCCCTTTCACCCTCTCTCCCAGCCAGTGTTAAGGAGACTGTTCATGTTTCTAAGTGCGTTTACTGGTGTTGTGTTGAAACCAGTTGCTAGAAAAATTTTCACAGCCTGGGATCCATGAGTAGTGGTATCCATTTTTAAAAAGTTGCAAAATAGTAATAAAAAAAAAACAAAAAACAATAAGATGGAGACCCTATGGGGCCCATATACCCTAAAATGTTTATTGTGTGGTTTACTCTGGAAAGTTGTCGATCCAGCTTTAATTGATGGAGTAGCTTACTAGCTTTACTCTTCCCATCAGTACTGGTGTTAACATATCTAAATAATCACCATAGGGGCTGGAGAGATGGCTCAATGGTCAAAGCCCTGGCAGAGGACCCAAGTTCAAGTTCCAGCACCCCTGTGGCAGCTCACAACTGTCTGTAACTCCAGTTACAGGGGATCTGACACCCTCCATGAGCAAAACACTCATATACATAAAATAAAAAAAAATTTAAAGTCACCATAGATGGTAGTATCACGGCAATGTGTTTTTCATCTCCTCAATCAGTCACAACAATTGCTGGACACAGAAAAAAGCTTTGCATTAGGGACTATAACAATGTAGGGGTTTTCCTCTTTATAACTTAGACAAGTGGAGAGAGATTTGTGACCTGCAGGAGTCAAGGAAAGCAGGGAGTTAGGTGGATGGGAGTCTCTGGCCATGCTCAGTTTGTACCCTGAAGTGGAAGCTGAAGACAGAGGAAAAGGATACATTCTTTCCTGTATCCTGTGTTATCGTCAATGTATTAAAACAAATTTACTGAGGGAACCCGCCTTTCTTAGTGGTTACCAAAAGTGCTGATCATGAGTGCTGAATACAATTTAGCTTGTGCTTGTCTTGAATTTGAACTTGTCAGTGAGCTGTATGATACAACAGTGAGCTGTTACATCACAAGTTTTAGAAATAAAAAACATAATCTTGTTGAACCATTCATAAGAGTGTGTGTGTGTTCTCAAAATGAAATTATGTTTTAGAAGCAAAGACTTTACAGACTACTTCATTTGCTAAAGTATAGTTTAGTACATTCTTTGGCCCCTGGAGGAAACAGTGAAACCTGTATTGCTGTAGTTGTACCCTAAGCAACTTAGTAACTTTTCTGTGCTTCAGTGTCTATTACGAGGTAAGAGGGATAACTGAGTTTGGTGTGTCCAGCACTTAATGTTTGGTAAGTAAAGGCAGTTAGATAGTGGTCACTTATATTAACTAATATGCAGTCAATTATATTAGACAGCAGTATAAAGTTTGGGGACACCTCCCTCCCCAGGCTAATTGTGGTCCTTAAACACCTGAAACTTAGCACTCTGTGCTCCATTGCTTATCACATGTCTGCTATTTTGATGTCTGAATTTGTGTATTTTCTCAAGCACCTTCAGCATGTCAGGTAGTTAATTTCCATGGTGTTTTCTTGTCCCTCCCTTTGGAAAGCTAGACAGTTACTAGAGTTGCAGGGAGTAGGGGGTGGGTGTCCCTTTCCCATATTTTCTGGTCTTGAAAACAGTTCTACTCTGTCATGTATTCCAAGGAAAATGAATCACATTCAAATTTCAGTCTAAATTAAGACCGGTAACAGCCTAAATGAATATTTGTAAGACTTTACTCGATTTTTAAGGGCAGTGCCCTGTCAGATTGGCATTTAGATAGATAATTTGGGGGGGCTTACTTGAATTTTGCTTATCATGGGCTCTTGTTTGCTTACAGTTTGCAGTATTGATGTGGGTGTTTACTTATGTTGGTGCCTTGTTCAATGGTCTGACACTGCTGATTTTAGGTAAGTCTACAAAAAGATTGAAAAGCACTTAGAGACATTTTGGTAGAGAATACCTTTATTGTAGGAAAAAAGAAATCTTTTAAGTAGCTGATGCTGTTTTATTGAAATGCTGTGTTCCTGAAGACTATTCCAGCTAACAGTGACAGACCCACCTCACCTGACGGTACACTCTGGAGTTTAAACGGGGCACGTGTACTCTATAATACCTGTGAGATAGGATTTGAGTGCTCATAGCTCCTCAGCTGCGCTTCTGTCCTCCGCATGTACAGAATGATGTGAGCATTTACACAGACCTTAGGAGCACGGCCTAGTTATCTTGATGACTGTTGGCTTGGTACTTTGATATTTACTCCCAGAATGAAACCGGTCCTTTTTTTAAAAAAGTTGTGTTATTTGCTCTTTCAGCTCTGATTTCACTCTTCAGTATTCCTGTTATTTATGAACGACACCAGGTAATGTCTTAACTGTCACCTGCAGAACATAAAACTCACTCTTATGCTGTAAAGGACTTAAAAAAGATCCAGTTCCCAGGCCTGGTCTTAACCCTTTAATGTGTTGGCATGTAGTAATGTTTGATATTCTTTGTCAGTGTTAACTTTTTAATGCTCTTATCCTCTTTCTTAGGCGCAGATAGATCATTATCTAGGACTTGCAAATAAGAGTGTTAAAGATGCCATGGCTAAGTAAGTACACCCTGCAGCTTCCTTTCCAAGGGCGAGGGCGGCATTCTCCTGCACACCCGAGTCACTTCAGCCTTGGCAGAACGCTCCTAAGTGCCAGCACTGCTTCTATGCTTGCTTCCTTCTCGTTTTTTTTTTTAAAGAGACATTGTTGATACCTACATTGTGAAACAAAGGTGAAAAAATTATAGTGTGCATTTTGGTAGCTTTAGGAGTCTCTCAATAATATACAACATAGCATGTTTTAAAGAAGCAGGGAACAAACAAAAATTGACATTTTTCTTTTTTTGTAGAATCCAAGCAAAAATCCCTGGATTGAAGCGCAAAGCAGAATGAAAAGCCCCAAGCAGTAGGAATTGGTCTTGGAGGGGACTCGTCTGATAACGGGGTGGGGTCGGGTGAGCCCTCGGCAGCGGGCAGCTTCAGCTCTTTGTTCTTAGCAGTGCGCTGTTTGAGGAAAGCTTACCTGTCTTTCTTCCCGTGTTTATCATCTAAGTTCTATAAGCTGCTGTGTATGGGTTTAAATCGTAATCATCCTTGTTTTCCTGTATGAGCACTGGTGAATAAACTGAGCTGACAAAGTGGTATATTTTATTGCAGGTAGTTTTGCTGTATTTGGGAAATTGCAAGAAGGTAAAGCTGAAAAAAAAAAACTTCACAGTGTACTGTGTTTGGTTGGTGTAAATGGATGCAGATTTCTCTGAATGAAATGTTTAGACGAGATCATACTACTAAAGCAGGAATGAAAATGCTGTCTTTATGGTATGCTCTAGGTGTATTGTGAACTTACTGTTATATTGCCAATATACGTAAATATAGACATAATCTCTATATAGTGTTTCACAAAGCTTAGATCTTTACCTTCCAGCTTCCCCACAGTACTTGACCTCTGAGTCATTGGTTATACAGTGTAGTCTCAAGCACATAAACTAGGAAGAGAATATATTTCTAGGAGCACTACCATCTGTCTTTAAGGAAACAACACAGACCCCAGCATAAACGTCATTGCAAAGACTTACTGTATAGTTAATTGTGTCACAAACTCTGATTCTGTGGACTGAATTTAATACTTCCAAATGTTTGCAGTTATCAAACATAGTTATGCAAGAAATCATAAAATGAAGACTTATGCCATTGTGGTTAAGCTGTAATGAATTATCTGTGGAATGCATTGTGAACTGTAAAAACAAAGTTTCAATAAAGCTTATAGACTTAATGTATGCGTTTAGTGTTTTGGTTTCGTGAATGTCCTGAACACAGTGATAGGCTGTCTAGTGTGAACAAATGGTGACAGACATGCTTGTAGAAGGTTCATGAAACAGCTAAGGAACAAAGAACATAATACATAGTGACATTTATTTGACCCATAGCAAAAGGTTTTACATTTTTACACTTGGACTGAAAATAAACTCATGCACCAATATTTTAACAGAATATAGTGCAAGATTTATGAACATACACAAAATTATACCACATAAACTTTACAAATGAGACTTTCAAAAGTTTTTATAACACACACTATTGCTCTTCAAATATATGTGTACATTTACATATGCCACTGATTAATCAGGTGTCCATCCACATGGTTATTTAAATGCAAGATCTGGTCAGAATGAAAAGTCAGTAGTGCAAAATAGGCAGACATGGTATCACTCAGCATCACCAGTTACAGGAAACAGAATTAGGACTGCATAGGGACTCTACTAGGGGCCCAACAACCTACTAGTGGATTAATGTAAGGCATTAATAAATTGGCATGTAAAGTAGCTTAATGAGTAGTCTAATCCTTTTAGAATGCTGAAGCACTTCTGTAGTAAATGTTAATAATCTATTCTTCAACTGAAAATACTTCATTTCATCCTTTCTATAAATTGACAACTGCAGATAGCTAGGAGCTCAGGGTGTGTACAGACCAGAGAAGGGTTCTGGCGTGTGTACTCAGTGGCCTCATCCCCGCCAGCCTACTTCCAGTGAGTGTCCTCTGTGTAAGGGAACTGAGGAGCTTTACAGTAATATTGTCCAAGTCACATTCTGTCCTACAACTGACTGAAGAAATTCAAGTACGTCTTTGAGAGATTTTTTTTTAAATCTAGATTTAGCCTGCATTGATTATCTGAAACCAATGGAGCCAAGCCAGCCCTACCCAAGAGTATAAACCTTCTAGCAAGACAAATCGGCTCACTCATTTTGACATACTGTAGATTTTCCCCCTTTTACATCTTGTAGAAGTTGTTTTGTTTGAAGGATTTAGGTTAGGTTGTGGATTTGGCACTAACATAAAATTCATGCTACTTCTCACAGAATTGGAGTTCCTCTGCTGCTCACCTTCCCCATAACCACTGTGTCCCAGCAGGTAACTGATGCCTTTAGAAACCCTAGACACACAGAACAAGTGATAGAGCCTGCTAATCCCATAGCCCTCCTCAGTTTCGAAGTTTTAGCACCATGTGTAGAAAGGAGACATTGTGGTAGGTGAGGCAGCAGCCCACACAGCTGGGAACTCTCAAGGCACTTAATGGATATAAAACTGCAAATGAAACCTTAAAAAATTAAGTTTTTAAACTTGTTTATACATGGCTCATTTGGTTTTGAAAGCTAAATGTGGCAACCAGGCTGTCTGTTTCTGTACTTTAGTGCTTCCAACTTACACTGTCATATCCAGTGAACATTCTTGAAATATATAGAAAAAGAATAACAAAACACCTTTGTAAAAGTCTTAATGCAAATTAAAAGCTACATATTGGTTAGGGTAACAGGCTGTAAATTTTGTCAGTGGGCTACATCATCAGGATTTAGTTGTCAATGTTACTAATAGGTACAGGTTTTAGTCTCCAGAACAGAGGCAAACAGTCTTAATATTGTAGAACTTTATCATCTTTCTTGGCATCACCGCCTTGCAAAGTCCATATTGTGAGAGAGTCCTGCAACCTCACTGGCACCCAGAGCTCGTGTGTCCCACGGTTAGTGTCGAGGAGGCACCTCTGCACTGCCTGGGCGTAGCTGGGGAAAAGCAGCATAGTGCACGAGGTTCTGGTGTTTACAGACATCGCCACACAAATACACTGAAAAGCAGACCAGAAATTCTTGTGTGGCCAGTTTCTATAATTTTGCCAAGTATCCAAACACAGTCTTGCCAAATGCTCAAGATACCTGTCCTGTTAGTATTGAAAAGGTCTTATTCGTGCCATTGAAATGAAGCCCTTTTTATATGGTATACACCTGTATCCAAACCCCTACGTTTTTAGGTTACTGTAAGTCCTGTTTAGTAAACAAGTCACCTTATATTTCCCCCACTGGGGGGCCTAATTCATTTAGGTCTCATAGTCCCAGCTTGTTCTGTTTGGCTGGTATTGTTTTGAATGGGTGTTAATATTCCAAAAGGAACAGGTGTCAGTATTATCTCAAGCATCGTTAAGTACCTACAGTAGATGTCATGGTGGCTAGAGATGACTCTGCAGGCAGGCCATCACAATGCACTGTGTTCTTTATATGTGCCTCTTCTACAGCTTAAAGATGTCAACATTTGTTTTCAGTGTTTTAAAATTAACTTAGTGCATGTGCACTATAGCATGAGTGAGGAAGTCAGGACAGTTTTCAGGGGTAGATTCTCTCCATTTGGATCACTTGAAATTGAAATTCATCGGGCTTGGCAGCAAGCACCTTTATATTACCAGCCATGTTTTTCTTCTTTATCTCCTCCCCCTGAGTCTTTATTAAACAAAAACCATATTTGTAATAAAGCCTTTCAATATGTCAAAATTGAGTTACGATACAATGACCTGGGCCTGTCCAGGAAACCCCTACCTCAGAAATGAGAGGCTACAGATCTGTGGGTCTAGTTGGAAGGGTTTCTTCTAAAACAATGGCTTCCCAGCCATGCTTCATGCAGAGTAACATGCTCACTTCACCATGAGGTCAAAAGCTGCCTTTGTTGTCTATGCACACATCTAGTAGAGATGTTACTGACTAGCCCTAGACCATCACCTGCTGTTCCTCCTGTTGGCTTAGGGCAGCACCTGCATCAGCTGTTTTTAGTGTCACAAGGCTCAGTATTAATATCTTCATGCCTCTTGGCTATAGTGATGCATCTAAAAGACACTAGCACAGACTGGTAATTCTACAGGACACATGGATAAAGGTTGATTTTAAACTAATAATTCTCAGTGATTGTTTCTACTGTAGTTAACCATTCTAGATTTCTTACCTTTTTTGTCTCTCCCAGCAATGTTTAAGATAGCTATCACATGCCATGAGCCCAGTAATCCCAGGTCAACATTAGTGGGGACACAGGTCTGTCAAAATTTGTTAACCCCAACAACAGAATATAATGAGTTCTTGTTTTTCCCTAAGAACGCATGTGATTTCCTTTTTCCTGTCTCACGTCAGACCCTTCCTGTGCCTCAGCAGAGCCTGCCCCATAGGACACCTGAACTAGACAGAGACAATGGGGCTTGAGTCAGCCGAATCGATCAGGGTATACCTGCAGTCGTCTCCTCCGGTGCTGACCACATACTTGTCATCATAAGAAAAACGGATGTTTGTCACATGAGCTGAGTGACCAAAGTAGCGTTTATGCTTGGCCTGTAAGGAAATAAATGGAGGCAGCTGAGTGCCTGTTATTCCCAGTAACTGCCCTACTCCCAGAAATTCCTGAGCTCTGTCTGCACAAGGAGTTGATGGAAGGGTGCCTGTTCTGGCTTTGCAGTTTCCCTTCCTCTTAGAGCTACAGACTCTGTCCGCTCCTGATAGCCAGGCTCATGAAGTTTCAGCTGTAACCACAGCATTTCCAGGGTACATCTGCCAACCAGCCTTTTGTGATTTCCCTGCCTCATTCTCTCCCTTGTGGCCATTTTGTCCACCCACCATCTATCTAGTTTCTAGGACTGTGTCTCCAGAGGGACACTAAAGCATCAGCCAAAAATCTCCAGGGCTGGTACCATGACAACTCTGATGGTCATCTATATGTGTAGGTATTTCAGACTACACAGGCAGGATCACCACCTGGAGGCACATCAGGGGCTACTTGGGAAGACTCACAAATTTTTCTGTGCATGGAAAATCAAAGAGCTTCACTAGCCCAAAATCATCTCCTGTGACAATGTTCAAGCCAGCATGGGTCACACATGCACAGTTGACATCAGCCTTGTCTGCATTTCGTGGCCAGATTCCAATGACTTCATCTCCTAGAACACTGTTTCAAGAGGGAAAGGTGTTAGGAAGATGTGACAGAATTTCCTAGGGCCATTGTCCCCTCCTGGGGTAAGAAGTAGCTAGGAATTCTGCATGATTTGGTCATGTGGCAGCCATGGCTGTCCCCTGCCCTTGCACAGTTCCTTCTGAAACCCCATCAGTACACTCCAGAAATAAAAGTTTATTTCCATCTTTTATTTTCTTCTTTGTAGTCCTACTGATGTATGTGTGTTGGCAAGGGTGGGGCTTCTGACTTAAATTGTCCCTTGCCTTGAATAAAGCATTGTTTCTTAGCCTGCTCAACAATAGTTCTAGTCCCCAACACCCCACCCCTGTGCCTTCTTTCTCCAGGTTACTGGAAGTTTTGCTGTCAATGAACTTGGTCAAAACATCTGGACTTGCTGAGTGGGGCTTGAGGTTGGTATGAATGATTAGATGAAAAGAACTTGGTGCTTACAAAGCGCCAATCAGATCAGGCATACCTTAAGCCAGTGTCAAGCAGCTTTCCATGCTCACCCCTCCCCCGGCCCACCCTGAGGAAAGACAGTTTCATCTCAGCTCTTCCTATCATACCATCACAAACCCAGAGGCAGAGGTGGGACCTCTTCCTCAAGTAGAGTTCGCTTCAGTCACCTTGTCCAGGAAGCCCAGGTGATCTTCTCGATGACAATGGCTTCAGTTACCTGCTTCCCCAGGGGAACCTCGTGCACCTGGCGCTTATAGGCTCCTGTTGACACCTGTAAGCGGAGAGGAATCACAGTCATCTGTTTCTTGTCGCAGAGACCCCCTTGGCTGTCTTCCCCAAAATGTTCAGCCCCAACATCAAAACCCAAACTCAGCGCTGGGCTACAAAGCCTGGACGCGGCCCCTGCTAAAGTTCGCAGAATGGGGTGTCTCCTAACCCAAAGCCTGGACACTGCCCATGCTAAAGTTGATAGGCTGGGGTATCTTCTACCACTCTTCACTCCTGTTTCCCAAAGTCCTAACACATTGGCTCTCCAAATGTGACTGCACATCCAGAACTGTGAACTTGTTAGAAACAGGAATTTTTGACTCAGCTTGTCAACTCAAACCCTGTGAGGGTAGGCCAAGCAGTCTTGTAACAGCCTCCCACTGATTCCAATACACATAAAAATCCCTGTTCTTAGAGAACAGTGGCATGAAAGACAAGTTTTATTGTAGGCAGTGTCTGATGGATCTGCTTCTCTAAAAGTCCCATAGAGGAAAAGCCACTGTTTTCACATTAAAGGACATTTGCCAGCATCTTACATCTTAGGTTCCTTTCCTCCGCATGGTGACAATACCTCTACATAAGCTACCCAGGCTTTTCTTCTGTTCATGGCATGGCATGAGCCTAAGTCTTACTCACTTCAGGGTTTCAATGGCTTGGAACAGAAATCCCATCCCCTTTGTAAGATAACTCCTACATAGCACACAGACTTGGTCTAAACAGCACTTGCTTAGAAGGGAGGCAGGGCTAAACTGACACCTCTAAATGGGTGGTTGGCACAAGTATGACATTTGTGATCTAATATTTGCCTTTTCCATGGAAGGCATAACAAACATTGTATCCATCTAAAAGCCCACCTAGCCTAATGCTTTGAAAAGTGAGTATGTGCATTACTCTCCTTTTGTAGTGAATATTCAATTCTACACCCCCAAATGCTGGCTACTTTTGTTTTTAGCCATCAGTTAGTTCAAAGGTAGGACTCCTCTTACTGTGCTGGACCCAGTGATGATCTCCAGCTCACTCCAGCATGCCACAGCATAAACAATAACAAGTTCAGTGAAGCCCTAGAGAACTAGAAATTAGGACGTTTTTTAAAAATGTGTTTATGAGGCCATGTGTGCATGTGTATACATACACATACACAAGTGCCTGCTATGGTGCATGTATGGTATGAAGGCCAGAGGAAATTGTGGGAATCAGGTCTCCTATCATGGGAGATGTGGGAGGGTTTGAACGTGGTTGTTGGGCTCAGATGCAGGCACTGCTACTGCTAAGCCATCTCCCCAGCCCTGGAAATCAGGAAATTCTGATGGTTAGTGAAAGTAGGTTGAAGATGTCTAGTGATATGTTCCCTGCTATGCATTTTTTCTTTTGGTTTTTGTTTCTTACTAAAGATATATAATCCAAGCCTCTGCTCTACAGTCATAAACTAGGGGGAAAGGATAGCTCCTGGAAGTTGCCTGTGGTGGATAAGTTGCCCAGCACACCATCAACACTCTACTAATAGGAGCACGATTTTTGTTGCTCTTCTTGGTTGCCCTTGAGACAAGTTACCCACAAGCATACCTGAATGTATTTGCTGTCTGCAGAAAAGTCCAGCTGAATGACAAAGCTTGGGATATCTTTGCAGTAGCCAATGCGGTTCAGACTTGTGCCCTGAGTGAGGTCATAGAAGTCAACTGTGTGCTCAGAAGAACCCACGGCTAAGAATCTGTTGTCTGGGCTGATTCTAGAGAAAACAAAATCAAGAGCATGGTCCACAAGGAGGCTCTTTGGGGCTGGTCAGATACAAGGCAGATCTGAACACACAAAGATGGGTTAGCTCTGCCTCAGACCACTCACCTGATGTCTTGGATGGCAGATTTCCGGTCTCGTTTCTTCCCCCAGACTTTCAGGCTGTTCACCAGCAAGATGACAAACTCTCCGTTCTTCATGCCAATGGCCACCATCTCCCCATCAGGGCTGTAGGCTGCACACCTGGCCGCATGGCCCAGGTTCACCTTGTTTAGCAGTTTCTAAACAGATGCAGAGAGTCATCTGAAGCCTCAAGCATGGGCTAATTTTCGGGGGAAGTCCTACATCAGGACAGGGAAGTCAAACTACGCCAGCTGCCACTGAGGGCCACCAGTGTCTTCACAGTCCGCCTCCTTGAGCATGGTGATTAGAGCCGCTTGGGGGACAGCACCTTTTAGGACAGGGCTTAGCAAACATTGCCGGTTATGTCGTCATAACTTTGCATTGACACTGTAGGATCTGTGTCCTAATTAGTCGGCTTTGTCATGCCGACTGTGAACAGCAGATAAAGAGTGTGGGTGGCTTCGCCTGTTGAAACAGGCAGTGGGCCAGGCCCAGGCCTTAGGCTTTGCTGGCCTCTTGCTCTTGAAATGGGCTCTCACTTTCTAGTTGGGCATGTTTGTGACATTGCTGCCCGTACAGAAGTGACACTGATATCAGTCTTGGAAGATTTTGTAAATGCTAACAATAGCATCCAGGAAGCACTCAGTATATAGTAGGTTTTCAGTGGGTGAAAGCTGTATTTAGGCACCTTAGTAGCTTAAAAAACCGGAAGTGTAACATGTGCACGTGCTTGCATGTCTGCTCTTTGACCGTTACGTTAAAATATGACTACACATTTCTTAGCCACCTTGAACCAGAGCTCTGGAGTTTGTTCTGGGCTACATAGGCCAACCTTTCCCTTGATACTTTACGTTCTCACCCTAGGTGAATTTTAAAGCTGCTGTCCCAGCCTTCCTGGGACCTGATGGGAACATTGGACATTCTCAAACATTTCTCTCTCTCTACCTCTCCCCTTGTCGTTTCATAAAAAGATGGTAATTCTCAATTCTATCATTCCAGAATTATGAACCTGTAGGGCTCAGCAGAGTGCTTGTCTAATATCCATGAGGCCTTGGCTTGTGCATAACAGCGCACACCTGCATTCCCAGCACTGGAGAAGTGCAGGCAGGAGAATCAGGAGGGTGAATGTCTTTCTTTACTACATTCTGAGTTCAAGGCCAGCCTAGGCTGTGAGACCCCCCTCTCAGTACACGCATATCTAGACAGATGAACTGCTAAAGGGAGATGGGTGTGTAATGGACTTTCATTAGTAGCCTTCCTAACAGAGCAGGCCCAGCGCATCCCCATCTCTGGCTTGACACAGGCCCTCTCCACTCCAGCTGCTACAGGCACTTGAGCCAGACAGAGTTGTGGAACACTGTGAAGACGCGGCTTTGCCAAGGCTCCTTCTTACTGGTTTAATAAAAAGCTAAACAGCCATTGACTAGGTGGGACAGCCAGACACAGAGGACACTGACAGAGAAAGGAGGAGTCACCAGGAGAGACAGAGGGGAAAGACATACTGGAAGACAGGTAAGGCCACTTGGCAATATGTGGAGAAATGGAAATAGATTAATTTAAGTTGTAAGAACTAGTTAGTAACAAGTCTAAGCTATGGCTGAGCTTTTATAATAATCAGTCTCAGTGTCATTGAGGAGCTGACAGTCCCAAGGAAAAACACTGGCTGTACAAAGTAGGCTCCTTACCTTGTCAGCCAGGTCCCAGATCCTTGCTGTGCCATCATTGCTGGCTGAGATGAAGATGTCCTTGGAGGGATGTGTGGCTAGGCCCCAGATCTCCCCCTCCATGTGTCCGTCAATCAAGATGTTTGAAGCAGCATTTTTTTCACCGACTTCAATTATTTCACCATCTTTAGTTCCTACTAAAATTTTCCCCTGTTACAATAAAATACTATTAGAAAAAGAACTGTATGAGCCCATTTATCTGAGGTAACCAGGGTGGTTAAATTCCTGGGACACAGAGGAGAATGGAAGTTACCAGGGGCAGGAGGGAGGGTGAGTGGGAGGTGGTGTTTAACAGAAACTCAGTTTTAATAAGAAAATGTTTGAAGGCAACAGTATAAATGTGTTTAATGTCTATGAATTATACGGAAATGGTTAAAATGGTAAGTTTTATGTGTTTTGCCACAGCTTAAAAAATCATTTAAAGCCAGGTGGTGATGGCACACACCTTTAATCCCAGCACTCAGGAGGCAGAGGCAGGCAGATCTCTGAATTTGAGGCCAGCCTGATCTACAGAGGGTGTTCCAGGACAGACAGAACTGTTACACAGAGAAACCCTGTCTTGAAAAAACACACATACCAAACACTACTACTACTAATAACAATAACTCACTCAACAGCACTGTCAGTGGAACTCTGCTGTGTTGGTATTAAAGTAAGAGCTGAGCGGTAACTAGTTAAGGACTTACCACCTGATAGCTGCCTCCTGTCCTTCTCACTTTGCCTTTTTTTCCTTTTGGTTTTTTGAGGCAGGGTTTCTCTGTGTAGCCCTGGCTGTCCTGGAACTCACTCTGTAAGCCAGGCTGGCCTTGAACTCACAGAGATCCCCTGCCTCTGCCTCCCGAGTGTGCACCACCACCACTTAGCTGTCACTCTGCCTTTTCTAGCAGCTACTTTGATCAGTGTCCTTGTCAGGTCTGCTAGAACATCCCAGTGAGGCAGCTAATACCAGTCTTAGACAACTGCAACTCATATTAATTAATTTTTTCATGCAATATATTTTGTCATTCTTTCCCCTCCCCCTAACTCCTACTCCCTACTACCCAACTTCTCTCTCTCTCTCTCTCTCTCTCTCTCTCTCTCTCTGTCTCTGTCTCTAAAATAAACCTAACACAAAAATATACACAAAACAAAACAAACAAACTACCAAAACCCAAAACTACAAAGTCTACTTTGTGTTGGCCAGCTCCTCCTGAGCATGTGTCCTGCCCTGCTCCACTGGAGAAAGCTATTTTTCCCTCTGCCAGCAGCTAACAAGGTCAAGTTCTTCTTTGCACTGGACAAACATCCTGCCTGCACCTCACACACTCATGCTTCCAAATGATTGACCCTTAGCTCTTAAGAACTTGTGGGATGCAGTCAGGGTTGCCTGCAGGACTCATCTCTGAAGAGCACCTTAGAAATGAACACGGGAAATTCAGCAGTGAGAGACTCCTTTCAAACATCCTCTCCAGGTGGAATTGTAACCCATTAGAAAGGGAAGAGTGGGTGTGGCACACCTCCCGGGTCTCACTGTGCAGCTCCATCAGACGGTTCAGTGGCCTTGACTCCCTTCTGGTCTCAGAACACTTTGCAGGTGATTTGGTGTCACTCAACTTATGAGAACAGTGTTTGCAGTGACAGTGGATGGCTTCCTGTGAAATATGAAGCCCTCTTGCCCTGGGTGCTGGACACAGGTTCAGAGACACCCCTAGCCTTCCTGGACGAGTAGGTTCACCTGGCTCTGACTGAGGAACAGACTGTTTAAGGCTTGAACAAACACTGGAAGAAAGCAAGCCTGCTGGGAACCCATCTCCTGTCTCAGCTCAGCCTGGAGGAGTGTCCCACGGGGCCAGCCATACTCACTTTGCCTCGGCACACAGAGCGCACACACTCCACCAGCTGCCCTGTCTCCAACTGGAAAGCCCGGCAACGCTTCATCTCCTGGTCCCACAACTTTACAGCCCCTCCTTCTTTAGTCCTAAAGAAGTCAAAAGAGGAATTCACCCACTCCCTCAAGACTTCCCTTCAAAGCCCTTAGCACCAGTCCACCCAGGCCCAGCAGGTTGGACCCTCCAGGGTCTCCCCCTTCCTAGGTCCCGCAGATTTCCTTCAAAAGCATATCTCTGGAGGACAGCAAGTGTAGTCCTCAAAGCCAGTCCTGTTTTCATTAGCCTAATAGTAATGTTTCATGATCCCTGCCCTCTCTTCCTCCCTCCCTCCAAGAGCTGCTATGGGCAGCATTTGCAAAGTCACAAGAGCTTTCTAAGAAGGATCTCCTGAGTTCTCAGCTGCCATGGTCTCTACTGTCCTCTCGGGAAGACCTTGGGTTCTTTTTCAGAGATGGCAGTCTGATCTAACACAGAGAAGATAGGAACACCACAAACTGACATCCTGTCATTTTGTCCCAAGATGGTAGCAAACAAGTCCCCAAGAGGGGCCTTTGCTTACGGCCGTTCTTTCCCACCAGTCACGATAAGTCCATCCCGGAGGGTGGTGTACATTGTGAAAACAGGGCCTGTGTGAGCCTTGGCCACCAGCCGGATGAGGAAGTGCTCCTTCCACACGTAGACATCTCCATTGATGGCACCGGTGAAAGTGAGGTTGTTCTGTAAACAAAGGGACACCTTGGCAACCAGGACTATGCTGGCATATTTTTAATTATGCGTGTGTGCATGTGTCCATGCATATGAGCATAGGTACTCACAGAGGCCAGAGGCATTGAATGCCTTGGATCAGAGTTACAGGCAGTCACAGGACACCTGAGTGGGTGCTGGGAACTGAATTCAGGTCCTCTGGAAGAGCCGTGAATGCTCTTAGCCACTGAACAATTTTCCCAGCCAGACTAGCTCCTTTGCTGAGATGACCAGCTGTGCATTGCCAGTTTGGTCTCCATTAAAGCCAAATAGATTTGCAGAGAACCGGAAGAACATGAGAGGCCACCTGGCTTTACAATTTACTTGCTAATTGACTTGGGCATTTTTGCATTCCTACTGTGTGCACCTCTGCAGCATCAGCACGAGGCAGGCCATAGTAGGCGAAGGGCTATCCCCAAACAAGAAGGAGACTTGCCTGGGGTTCACCCAGGAAGTGGACACATGACACTTGGAACACCTGGAGCTTCCTTGCATGCACCAGAAGGAGTTTGCACTGGCTCGGAGATTTATAGAGCAAGAGGGCCAGGGGAAAAAGACCATTCCCTGAGGTAGAAGTTATTCCCAGCATTCTCAGGGGTTGCTCAAGCAGGGTGTCTGTATTTCTAGAAAGGACAACTGTGACAGGAATAGTCGGGTGTGGGTGGCACTACCGCATTTTCTGGTGTCCCAGACAGAATAAGAAGGAAAAAGCGAGCTGAGCACCAGGCATCTGCCCCGAGTGTGGTCACCTCGGCGCTGCCATCATGTCTCTGCTGTCGCGATGATCTGATCTTAACCCACCAGCCAAAAGAAAGGCTTCCTTGCTTAACTTGCTCTCCTCAGCGATTTCCTCATAGCAATGAGAAAATACTAGTACTTTTTGACTCAACATTTCAGAACAAAAAATAAGTAAAAATTGTAGCCAGTTGAGGTACAAAGGAGACAGCTCAGTCAGGAAGTACTTGCCTTGCAAGAATGAGGACCTGAGTTCAATCCCCAGAACCTACATTTAAAAAAGCTTGGTGTGCTAGTATGTGCCTGTAATCTTGGTGCTGGGAAACTGGAGACAGGCAGACCCCTGAGGGTCACTGGCTAGCCAACCTAGCCTAATTAGCAAGCCTTGGGTTTAGTGACAGACTCAAAGGAGGTATCCACACATCTACCAGCATACTGACACACATACACGCACACAGAGCAGCCAATCCCCTATGGATGCCAAGGATGGGGAACACTGATTTCTAAACACAGAGCAGCCAATCCCCTATGGATGCCAAGGATGGGAGACACTGATTTCTAAACACAGAGCAGCCAATCCCCTATGGATGCCAAGGATGGGGGACACTGATTTCTAAACACACAGCAGTCAATCCCTTGTGGATGCCAAGGATGGGAGACACTGATTACTAAACACACAGCAGCCAATCCCCTATGGATGCCAAGGATGGGGGACACTGATTTCTAAACACACAGCAGTCAATCCCTTGTGGATGCCAAGGATGGGAGACACTGATTACTAAGGAGCTACAACGTAAGTAAGGGACAATGTAGAAGTGGCTTTCTTGTTGACTTTGGCTTCTTGGCCAAACCCTCTCCCAGTGCCTCTCCTGAGGATTCAGGACCTTCTCTAGAAAGAAGTTACTGGAACTTACAGCACCAAAAGCCACAGACAGCATCGTCTGCATCTTGGCAGCTTCCATGGACCCGATGACCCCTTTCTTGTATAGCAGACCACTTCCAGCCAGCGTCCAGAACTTCATGTGTTTGACCCCAACAGATACAAACTGTGTATCTGAGTCAGGGCGAAATTCTACCACAAATATACGCTCCAGGTGACCCCCTCGGCTGGCAACCTTGGTACCTGTATGGGCGACAGAGTCCAATGAGGCTAGTCCTTCTGCCATGCATGAGCCAGAACAGGAAGTAATAGCCCAGACTGGCTTTCCATCCACTCAGAACTCAGGTCAGAGTTCCTTCTTTAAGTGCATTCCTTTCAGGCACTGTTCCAAGGAAGGCATGCATGGGGGGGGGGATTTTCCAGAGAAGTGGGTGCTACAAACAGAACCCTCCCATACACCAACAAGTCCATGAATAGTGCAGGAAATGACTGTGGCCCATGACATGGAAGCTTCTAGATTCCAGAAAAGGGTAGAACTGATCTACCTTGCTACTGATCTATCTTCCTACTCCGGAATCAGCACTGCAGGATGCCCCGCCCTTCCAGGGCCACTGGGAGCTCAGATTCTTCAGACACCTTTTATTTTCTTATTTCTATCCATGATTCCTGTGTGCATTTTCTTTAGCCCCTGTGCTCCTTTTCAGTTTGTGCATTTTATGCTTATATATTCTACTTTTTATATTTCATTACTAGTTTTTCTTACATCATATTCTGAATGTCTCATTAGCCTTCATCTTGAGTTTCAGCTCCATTTGTAGAACGTCTTTGAACATCTCAACCTCTCTGCTCTGCCCCCAGGTTCCTTGCTGTGTTGGTATAACAACCATTCTAGCTGCGAAGGGACTGAGAGAAGTCGAAGAGCCCACGCAGGTGGGCAGCGCTTGGCCGTGATAGCCACGCCACACTGGGAACTAGTGGATTCCTTTGGATCTTTTTAAGACCTCTGTGTTTCTATTCCTGCATTTTAAGACTCTCTTTTTATTCTTTTAAACCCTTAGAGTTAAAATTTTTATTTTAATCTTGTTACTTTTTCTTTAAGGCTCTTTCCATGCCCTCTCAATGTTTTGGTTCCAATTTCTTCTCCCCCCTCCTTTATTATTTATCCTGATTTTTTTCTTCTCATATGTGTACATTTGCTCATTTGTTTTCACTATGGTTCCACAGGAGAGCGGTAGTTGTTTTGGTGGTAGGTTTTAATGAAGCTGGCCTTGTAGCTACAGATACTCAGCAAAAGAAGCCTTTTCCAGGGGAGGCTGTATCAGGAGAGCCTTCTACCCCACACATTGGCTAACCACTGAGCATCTGAAATCCTCACAGTAGTAATGGTTCTCACTGCCTGGGGCTTTGAAAGCCATGGACTCCAAGATCATAAACCATGTCTGACAGCAAAGGACAGGTGGAAAGAAAAGTATCCTCAACTCTTGTAAGAGTTGGGGTGAACAATAATCTATAAAGACCAATGCTCCAGTGGTCTTTATAGTGGGCTATGGAAGCGGTAGTGTAAGTGGCCAATAAGAGGTGCAAAGATCAACCTCACCAGCTTTGGGGGAAATGCAAACTTCTAATGAGTCCTATTTAAGCCTTCTTAAGCCTTCTCCTCTTGTTTTAATCTCATGGGTATTTTTAACTGTGGAGACACTGAGTTGGCTTCTGGTCTGTTGATAACAAATTAGAAAGACATATATAGGATCTGAAACATGCATTGTATGTAATATGTTCACTTGAAATCCCATGTTATTATTCATACACATGCTCTCCAAAATGTGTCATAGCAAGACCGGAATGCACAATATGCTCTTTAGTGATAACACGAATGTGCATAAATCAGTGTGTGTTATTTGTATGAAGGTAGGACTCGAAGAAAACACACACACACTAGAGAAAGGAAGAGAAGCTGTGTCCAGTCAACCATGAAGAGGGCATCTTCTCAGAACCCTCTGGCAAACTGGTTCCAACTAACACAAGGAGAGGACACCCCATGCTTCTCTCCTCCAGGAAGCCAGTTTAAGAGGAGATTTGACAGTTAGTGGAGACGAGTGACTTTTCTAGTTCTTGCTGCCTTGGTGGTCAGGTTCTGTCTGGAGAGACAGATGGGAGAGGTGAGGAGGGAGCATGCATTGAAGACAGTAGACTGGCTGGGGCCATAGGCTCACTCTTCTCCTGGGACTTGGGACTAGAGTCAACAGCCTGAGAAAAAGGGGTATCTGGAACACAACTCTGCCCCGGAAAGAGGGGACTTTATGAAAAGAGCTAACAGTGGGTGGGCTTCTTGGGAAGTGACAGGGGCTGTATCCTGGGAGATATTCATGCAGATGGAAGGAAGCCTGCCAGGAAAGCACCGGAGGATTCTGTGGGATAGACTTGGATGACTGGAAGGTATCCCTAGCCCTTCCAACTCTGGCATGCCTTGAGGCTGCAAGGTATGCTGCTTCATTTCTCATCTGCACCATCTAGTTGATCCACTGACCACCTGGATCATAAGCAACTGACCGCATCCCAGAGAGATGGACACAATGAACTGTAAACCAGATGACAGTGTGGTTTCCTGGAAATACCATGGGTCTAGTTGATCCACTGACCACCTGGATCATAAGCAACTGACCGCATCCCAGAGAGATGGACACAATGACTTTAAACAGATGACAGTGTGGTTTCCTGGAAATACCATGGGTCTAGCTGTCTCCCAGAGCAGTGTAAGGAGACTTATTCTTAACATTTGTCAGTCTGTGGCCTCTCTTAACTGGGGCTCAGGAAAGACAGAAGCTTTTCTTAGAATGTATATGCCTGTTTAAAGCCCTTCTTCACACCCTTTCCATGAGAAGAGGAGGAGCTAATGGGACTCCAGAGTCCTAGATTGGAGAAGTGTCATTTCTCTACCTGCCTGCTCAGTGTGTCCCAGATACCAGCTGCAGAGAGACCTCATTAGTGCCCCTACTAATTGGATCTCAAGGTCGACCTGAGCATATACTCAGAAAATTGCATATTTTAATTACAATTACAAATTTAGAAGCAGCTAGTATGTGTGCGTGTGTGCCTGCGTGCTTGCGTGTGTGTGTGTGTGTGTGTGTGTGTGTGTGTGTGTGTGTGTGATAGGGATAGATAAAGAAAGAAACTCATTAACTATATTATAAACCAGTGATTCCCAACCTTTCTAGTGCTGCAACCCTTTAATGCAGTTCCTCATGTTGTGGTGACTCCCAACATATTCTTGTTGTTACTTCATAACTGTGATTTTGTTACTGTTATGTGTCACAATGTAAATATCTGTGCCCCCTGTGACAGCTCTGAGACCAGCAGGTTGAGAACTGCTGCTATAAACAGTGATTAAGGTGAACCCTCATTTCATAAGTATTAAAGCATAAAAATACTGTGAACAACTGAAATTTGCTTTCAGTGGCCAGGCTCACTCCAGTTCTAACAACAAGGTGGCCAAGGTAAACCAGTTGGAGTAGAATCCAGAGGCCACCAAAAGGAACGCTGAGGACAGGGAGTTTAGAGAGGAAGGTGGCGATAGAGAAGGGATGGTGCTGTCCCTGTGGCCAGTGTTAGCACTTTGCCAACACACCCACAAGCCACCATGGCTCCTGAGTCGCCTCCAGCTGGCCATGGCACAGGCCATGAGATCTGAGCGCGGCTTGCCTGGAAGCAGTCTGGGGTTCCATCCCAGCATACCTCATAGGGGAGCCCCGTGGGAGGAAAGCGAAGCCCAGCTTGTTACCTTCTTGCCATCGCCAGACAGTGATGGTGTGCTCTGGGTCCACGCCCACAGACACCAGGAGCTTCCCGGTCGCACTGAAGTTGACGTAGTTCACCCCCTTGGAGTGGAAACACCGCAGCATGGAGAGCGTGTGTTTGGTCACGGCATCCCAGATGTGGATTGAAGGTGTTGTCCCTGAGGGTGGAGACACGACAGAGGTGGCCTTCCTTGGACAAGTGTTTAAGGGTATCACAGTCACTGGGCATAAGAGACATGTAGTCTGACCTGGCTAGAGAAGGACATTAAGAAACTTGCTACTACAGAGAGAGTATATGGACATTTACGTCTGACACACTTGCAGAGGGTTATTCAAAGGAACCGGTAAGGATGGATTTGTATCTGTAGCACAGCCAGATACAACCACTAAATGGTACATTGATATGGTCTTGCTGTGCGGATTTGAACTATTCACCCCTGGGGCAGCTTTGCCTGTGCTTTGCAAGGTGTCACCTGCCACAGTGGGCAATAGCGGTGAGGAAGCATCAGGAGAGACAGCAGTGAGTCACATTCCTAGCAGTACAGCACTCAGCCCCAGTAAAGCACACTCCAAAGGATGCTGTAAAATGGGCTTTGATGAAAGCAAGCCAGAGACTTCCAAAAACAGATACGCAGGTGATTTTTCACAGATGTGCAGTTCACATCTGTTGCTGGTGGTTTCTTGGGAAACAGAAGAGTCAGGCACACATGCTATACTGCACTCCTGCCAAGCTCTCATCAGGCTGAAAGACATAGGGCTCACTTGCACATGGGTATCCAGTCCACAAGGAAGAGGACCACCTACTTATTTAACTATAAGGTCTTGGTCTGATTTTAGGGTCCCTCAGAATCACTGGTAACTACACGTATCAACTCAAGGTACAGAGATATAGCTTAAGACTCAAAAAGCCAGAAAGGGTTTGGGTCACACTCCTCTCCAGAGAGTACCAGTACTGATAGGCCAGTGCCTTTGTACAGCTGCAAGAGCCAGTGGGGAGCCAGGAAGAAGCCCTACCTATCTGGCTGGTAGCCACCACGTTTCTGTATTTTGGGTGCTGGTTCACGGTGAGGCAGAGGATGTCATCTGTGTGCTCCAGGTAAAAGCTCTGACTGCCTAGGAGAGAGGGATCACAGAAGATGAGCAGTGAGGCCTCACAGATTGACACAGCTATCACAAAGCAGAATGGAGAATCTAGAAATGTTTAGAAAACACAAATTATCATTTTTGGAATTGTCCTTGGGGATGTGGGGGACCTTTAAGAAAAGTTCCCATGTTCTGATGTAGTTCTGGAAGGACAAAAACTGGCATCATTCCTCATATAACCACAATCTACCATAGCCTTTCCCACTGCCTGTGTGGGTTCAGCATGCAGACCAAACACAGATGCTTTCAGAGACTAAAATGATAAAGTTCAAGTTCCCTCCTCCCCTTGGCACAAGATCAATGATTTCTCAATGTCCACCTGTGACCTGAAAGAGAGGGCGGGGACCCTGGAAACAAAGTTGCTGCAGTGAGCTAAGAGGCACCATGTGGCTTCCCCGGGAGCCCTCGAGTGGATCCTATCCACCTGGTGCCTGGGTGGCACAGGCCAAAGCTTTATCCCCAAGTCAACATATTCCGTAGGAAGTAGAAGGAAGGGTAGGACAAACTTTGCCATCCATTGCAGTAAACGGGCTTCCTGACTTTTGAAACCCACTCAAATGCTCAAGAACAGATTGGGGACTATAGCATAGTGCTCTTAAAATGATGGCATGTGCCTAAAAAAATTGAGAAAACGTGAAAATCTCAAAGCTGTCCTTCCTAGAAGGAGAAAAATGAAAACAACTCAGTTACTGTGCTCTCCAATCCATGCATGCACTCCAGGGACCCAGCAAGGAACGTGCCGCAGGAAGCCAGTGCTCTCCAAGTCCATGCATGCACTCCAGGGACCCAGCAAGGAACGCGCCGCAGGAAGCCAGTGCTGACATCTCATCCGGTGGGGAAGGTGCAGATGTGGGTCTGTTGCACAGTTTTTGCTTGAAATGTTTCCTTTGAAAGCTTTATTTCCTGATTGAACTCATGGCTAGAGAGCACTGAGTATCTCTGTTAATAACACACTCTTTGTAAATACGGCTCAAGTCAAAACAAGCTGAGCCCTGTGGCGCACACCTTGGATTCTAACAGTCAGGAGCAGGAAACTGGTTCCCTTTGCTTTGCTCGTAATTTTGGTCTCTGCCTCATTCCTCATTTCTTTGCTTCCATCCCTCTCTTCTCCCCAGCCTCTCTTCCCTCTCACCACGGAAGCACCGACAGGGGCACAGGTAGCTCCCCTCCAGTGCCTACACTATGGTCACACCAGGCTGAGGCCAGAGAGGTGGTAGGCCTGGACCCAAGAGCTGTGTTAGTACTTTGAGGCCTGAGTGACTCTAGCCTGGAAGAGAGTAGAATGACTCCAAGGGAAGAAGCTGTGGGTCATCGAAAGAGTGGGAGAGTATGCAGACAGGTGGGCACTGTGGCTTCTCCCAAAGCTACCTGTGGAGAGGTTCTGCACAACGCCAGCAGCTGCAGTGTGGAAAACGATGTCGGCACCATCATTCAGGTAATGCAGGTTGTTTCGGCAGTCAAATCCTCTGTAGCCAAATACATGGTCCAGAGCCAGCTCCTGCATGCACGCAAACAGATGAAGTCCACCTTAGAGGCTGCCAGCAGAGGAACAATCCACATCGCACATTGCAATCATGCAATCATGAATAGCCAAGCATGCCAGGGGGCACCACGCAAGGCAGACACCACTCACTGAAGCCTCTGGACAAGCTAAGGATGGAACACAGCCCTGTAGTTAGTTCCCTGAAATGTTACGTGACAGTGACTTCCCGAAGTAAGCCAAAGCGACTTCCTGGTCCTTTAGGTGAGTCGCCATGTCACGATGTACAGACTGGATGGTCTCTAATGGTAACCTACAAGTGTCAAATCTATGCACTGGCAGATGTTCACTCCTTAGTTCAGCTCAACAGTAGCTCGGAGGCTGCCACGTAAAGGTGTCACAGGCAGCTGGGACTGGCTGAGGCTCCTGGGTGAGCCAAGGCCATGCTGATGTGTTGGTTAGGACTTGCCCCATGAAGTTCCTGGGCATTTGCATATTCCTAAGCAACTAGACACTACTCTGGATTCATGGTTGTATCTTTTGACTTGTCCTCTATGAAAAACAGCAGTGGCTGATTCAGATCAGTTCGGGATTCCATTGAACACGCTTGTACTGGGCTCCTCTGTGCCTGGCTCTGAGTTAACTCGTGGGAGATAAGGGTAATAGCTTGTAGGTCCACTTCTCTGCTTTCCCCAGTTACGGCCCTCACTGTTTCTGAAGCTTGCCAATTGCAAACATTAGATTAACTCTCCTAAATGGCAGTTTCTTAGCAGAAAAACATCTGCTGCCTTCACTGCGTCTAGGATAAAGCCCAGACTCCTTGAAATGGCACACACAGCTTACCCACACACCCAACCACCTTCTGAGCATCCTGGATAACTTACTGTAAGCTTTCCTAGTGTTACAGATTTGTTTTCTAATGTATCTCTCACCTGGAAAGCCCATCTCCTTTCAACTAAATGAATCTCTACTCGTCCCTGATTCCCCTGTTTCCCAGGAATGTATTTACCATGGGACTGCTGTTTTAACTTTGGCACAGTGTCTGCGCCTTAATCCACTATTTCAGCCAGCAATTCCGACTGTGCAGTTATGGGCCTGCTTCTCTGGCAGTGGTCCTGCCACTCAGGCCGTACTCTGGTGGGAATTCTGTTCCCACAGTCACTGGCTCTGCCACTAAAAGGGGGTTTAACCAAATCTCTATTATTCTATTTATAAATAAAACTGGAGACTCAAGGCTGGGGGAGAATCTGCTAGCACCGAGAAACTGACTAGCACCTAGTTATCCTTCTCTCCTTGCTGGTATCTCTTCCAAAGTCTATTCGTCTCTACCAAAGTAAAAAGCTGCGCCACTCAAAATGACTCCCTCTGCATCCCTCTGTCTCTTCCAGATGCCCTCTGATGCTCCATGATTACTTTCTGTCAGCCAGTTGCTAAATCAGCCTCCTGACCCAAGGTTGATTTTATTCAATTAATGCAAATGCAAACTCGGGGTTTACAGTGTGATCAAATATCCTCCATCATGGGACTTTGCCCTGAATAAAGTGGTCAGTTGACCCAATCAGACAGTCTTCTGGAAATTTAGGATAGACATTGATAGAATCAGAAGTTTAACCACCCGAGGAGCTGTAAACTCAGGGGCTAAGAAACACTGATATTTTACTGTATTTAAGACAGTAGTTCAAGAAGTTTTTAGAGAAAAACAGGCCCCAATGAGTGCCTGCTTGACGGGAGATTGGCACCATCTGGCTTATGATGGCCTTTCTACTGTTGCATCCTGTCTTCCCTGAAAATAAGCTACATTTCATGATCTGAGCTATCCTTCAAAATAAATATCTCAATAAAGTTCCCTTCCAGAAAAAAAATATTCTGGCACCAGTGTGGGTTTAGGTCTCACAGCAGGGGCAGACAGAGGTCTGAGAAACATGGAGTGTGTGCCAAGGCCTGTGAATATGGGCATGGATGGAGGGTCAGCATGAGGGTGATAAACGATGGTCCTACACAGACACCTGATTCCAGAGAGAGGCCTGGAAGAACTACAATGTGGGGAGCTGAGAGAAACAGTCCAAGCTGAGGAATTGAAACACAGCACCTCAGCATCCGAGACTAGTTGAGAACATTAGATGGTGAGTTTAGGCTTGGAGATTTGAGTTGCAAGGGAATCATAGGTCATGAGCTAGGAAGGTCTCTCTGGGTGAGGTTTTTCAAACTCTAAACATGACCCTCACAGGCAATGTGGGAATATTTTGGGTATTAAAGCCAGCATAAGGCATGGAAGGTTTGCATTAATGAGAGAGCTCTGGAGCGGTGGGTCTGCAGGCTCCCTGGAGCTGGTCTTCACGTCTCAACCTTAAGCCGAACTTCCTCCCTCACTGGACAGGAGACCCTGAGAATAGGTCCTTAGCACCCATGAGCCATAGAGCCCTCATTGGCAAGTGAAAGCAACAGTCCCCACCCCATATGTGAGAACTGGGTGAATGCCTCCAGAAGAAGGAAAGCGAGGTGAGAGATTGTGCCGACTTACATGTCACCTACTTCTTTCTTGTCCATAAAAGGGGTGCTGAAGTCCTAGATGGTAGAGTGTACAGGGCAATAGGACCATGTTTCAGGGACAGGCACAATGCATTTTAGAGTTAGTGATGATTGAAAAGGCTCAGTGACAGGGCTGAGAGAAGGAATGTGACCTGGTAGATGTAATGTTAGTCCCAGAGATGGGGGCAGGGGGAACAATGCCATACAGAATGGAGATTGGGGCACAAGGGAGCTAACAGACCCTTTTGGGTTCATTTGATGGTGTTCCTAGTTTGGGCAAATGAAGATGTCCACCTGACAGTGTCAGAGCACCAATAATGGGGCAAAAGCCTGATCATGTGACCTCACCTCAACTAGCTTCTTCTTTTTGGTGATGTTGTTCTTCTGGAGTTTCTCAGGCTGGGGAGCTGCCCGGCTTACGGGTGGTCTGAAACAGAAGTCAGAGGAAACACAGGGTTGAATAAAAAGCTGCTTGTCCACAGCTAGCTAAAACCAGAGCCACGGAAGGTCCTCACTCCTCTCCCCCTCAGAAGACATACCACCTGGGGCTGCTCTGTCTAACTTTCCTCTCTCACCCCATTAGGAACAGTAACTTGGAATCTGACCAGTCACAGTGCAGGTACGGGCTAGGCTCATGGGGCAGAGTTGGGTTTCCTCTATATTACAGCCCCTTTGTGGCATCCGTCCCACTTCCCCAATACCCAACAACACCCTGGGATCCAAGAACCCCTGACTAGAGGGACTCACATTACAACTAAGGATGAGCAAATGTACGAGAAAGGCAAGGACATGTTCCCTGACTTCATTGGCCATTTCTCAAACAGGAATGTGCCAGCGTTACTCAGTATCATGTGGTCAAGAGCCTGGGGACTCAGAAACCAAGCTTGAGACAGGTCCTGAGACTGTGTGACCAGTACCAAGCTGCTCCGGCCATAGATGAGGGCAAGAAGGGAGAAAGGACCGAGGAACTCGTGCCTCCCACTCTGTGCCAAATTCAGGGTCAGGGCCCGCCTTAAGCTGCCATCATCACTGCACCAAAGTTTGCTTCTCCAGTCTTAGTTTTGGGGAGTGATACTCCCAAATTTAGCTAAGAGATTTCACTTGGAGGAAACCCTGAAGGACTCCTGTTGGTGGCACTGGGGTCCCTTTAGTCAGACTTCTGTGATCTTAGGGAAAGCAGGGGATGGGAGGAGGAAGTCCTGCCCCAGGTCCCATGCTACCCGTCAGTGTTCTCAGGAAATACAAAGGGGAAGTATTACCTTGATCCCCTTGGAAGCAGAAAACAAAGCAAAATAAAAACTCAGTACAGGTTAGAGCAGTGCCATCAAGCACCTCACCCATGCACAAGCATTTCCCAAGAGAACAGACATCCCTGTGTGGCACAGACCATGCTTCCCGGCATGCTAACCAAGAACTGAAACAAAGGAAAAGGGGGCACCAGGCTACACTCTCAGAAAGTCCTACCCTGCGTGTCTGCAGAGTACACTAGGCACCTCCGGAGTGGGGAGAGAAAAGGAAGTCTTGTCGATGCTGCCTGCATGCTCATGGCCTCAGGCCTGGGGAATCTGCTTATTTTAGAATGTGCTGGGGAAGATGCATTGTCAGAAAACAACAGCATCGTCTTGAATGTCTTAGGGAGTTGTGCACAATGGATTACTTTGTTCCCAAATTAATTTTGACTCATAATTTAGCCTAATAAGTCTCAGGTTTTTGCAGTAGGTCAGCGTGCTGGCTGGAATAGCTAATGGGATTTTGTGCAGGGGAAACAAGGTAGCTTTATCTTCTCAGAAATTCTTCAATCAAAACATGTTATGTAATTGTAAGTGATAATTGGACCAAATGGTATTAAAATGGGGAGAGGACATCTCTGCAAATGACACCCCCAGCTGACATTTCAATCAAACTGAGCAAAATCTCGGGATGGGGCATACCAGTTCCCACAATAGACACTTCCTGCAATTCATTATCATTTTCCAGGACATCTGCTCTTCTGTTTTAGTGGGACTTTCAGATAAAATCCATAGATTTCTTCTTTTACCTAGGAATGGTTAAGTAAGTGTATGACAAAAGCAAGCCAGGGGCTGCGATGGGAGCAAGAATGTGCCAGAACTACTGCATGGCTCATAACTTCCAGTTCAACACAGGGCTCAGTTCCAGGGTACACACAGGTTGTATAATATACAACATATTATACAGTACCGAGTATGCATACAAGCACAAACACTGTGTTTATATATACATGAAACTGTATATATACACAGAAAGGCAATCTGATGCTTTTTGTCATCCTTATGTTCAGCTAAAAAATGAAAGTGGTAAAGCAGGGTCAGAGTGTGTCTTTCTCGGTTCACAAGCAGTCTATAGCTGTATCATTTCAAAATGGAAGGCAAGAGGAGCAACGGGGAGAAGCCCCAATGGGCAGACGCAGCTGCCTTCAGCACCAACCCTTTGGGCCCGGGGTTCTAAGGACACTGAGTACTAGGCGTTCGCTGAACACCCGAGCTTTGGCAGAGTGCTGCAGATACTTACTTGACAATTCCCTGCCTCCAAAGGAAAGCAAGTTAAAACACAATACAAGCATTAAAAGCTTCTTTCCAAGCATCTATAAACAGTGTTCGAAATATTGGATGTGGGAGGAGCTGCCAAAACTTAATGCACAGCTGAAGGCTGGTGGGTTATAATTTTTTCAGCACTTCTAAATCCTTCCAGATTTAGATCCCACTCTAAGGAATTCTGCTGAGGTGGAAATGAACAGAGGACTTGAGAACATTCACTGACTTTTTGGTCCAACACACTTTTTATAGTTGGTTGGTTGTTTTGGCCGAGGCTGGGAAAGTCAGGACAGTGAGTACTCCTGGGGTCTGGTAAGGGACCCAACAGATTTAAGAAAACGGCAGAGGTTATGGGGATGGCCAAATGTGGGGTTAATGGGGGAAGGAGGACCCAAGACACAAAAGAAAGGAAGACCTTGGAATGGCTCAGGAAGGGAACTTCCATCACAGGAAAGGACTGAGGAAGGGAGTCCAGCAGGAGGGTGGCTGACGGGACAGCTGAGGAGAGGCTACATGTGACCTGCTGAGTTAATGCAGCAGCCTAATTCTTGGGCCCTGCAGTGGGGGCAGGGACAGGCTGCTGAAGATCTATCTTACATTGTGGCACACTCTGTGGACAGGGAAGGACCACAGGAAAGTCGGCACAGTGCCAATTCTACTTTCCAGCAGTTTGGATGCTGGAAAAAAAAGCTTAGACCCATTCAGGTGTGGAGATTTATCCTGACACACATTGTTACCCCACTAAGGCTGCCAAGGGAGGCCAAAAGGGCTTAGTGTTCTTTTCTATTTCCTTGCCCCCATAAAAAACAAAAAACAAAACCAGGTGGTCTGCCGAGAGATGGGAAGGAGCAGAACACACGATGACCTGGAGGGGAGCTCCCACAGCCCTAGATGAGCCACTGTGAGAGCTGAATGGAAAGGAAGGAAGGCTCTACAGAACAAGAGGGCCTTCAGCTTCCCTTTGCTAGAGTGCAAGTTTGAAATTGTTTTCAGTTTGTTTGTTTGTTTATTAGTTCTTTTGAGACAGGGTTTCTCTGTGTGGTCCTAGTTACTGTCCTGGAAATTACCCTGTAGACCAAGCTGGCCCAGAACTCAGAGATCTGCCTACATCTGCTGTGACTAAATGTGTGTACTGCTACTGCCCATCGTGTTTTTAGTTGTTAGCTTGACAATGTTCAATGTTGAAAGTGTTCTTAGAGGAAATGTAAATTGGTTCAGATTCCAAATTGGGTGACAAAATGCTCCAATAATTTTCAAAACATCTTAGAAAATCCAGCCACTTTCATCACTTGGACCTGAAGTCCATTTTATTACTGATTTTCCACAAGATCCCTCCATGAATAGGATCCTGGGATTCAGTGAACACTAGATCAGTCCATGATTAGGACTCTGAGATTCAGTGAACACGAGGCACAAGACAGTGTTTATAGATAGATAGATAGATAGATAGATAGATAGAGTGTTTATAGATAAGAGATAGATAGGTAGATAGAGTGTTTATAGATAGAGAGATAGATAGAGAGATAGATAGATAGATAGATAGATAGATAGATAGAGAGATAGAGAGATCTCCACCATAGTCTCAACGTTTCAAGATTAACTCAGGTTTAGAGAAAGTCTCCAAAGTTGTGGGAACTCTGTGTTATTAAAACATCCCATTAGATTTGTTCCTATGACTTCCGGAAGCATCTAGAGCAGTGGTTGTCACCCTTCCTAATGTTGTGACTCTTTAATACAGGTCCTCATGTAGTGGTGACCGCAACCCTAAAATTATTTTTGTTGCTACTTCATGACTATAATTTTGCTACTGTTATGAATTGTAATGTAAAATCTTACATGCAGAGTATCCAGTAGGTGACCCCGGTGAAAGGGTCATTTGACCTCCAACCCACATGTTGAGAACTGCTGATGTACTAGCTTGATCAATAGTGAAGTGGCATAAAGGGCAAATAATTAGGCAGAGAACCTTGGGGTGTTCTGAAAAAGCCTGCCATCTTTAGAATGCTCTCGCCTGAAGCCTAGGACAACGACCTGCTCCCAGAGTGTCATGGATTCAGACAAATGGCTAAAGGCCAAAAGGACAGTGAAGAGGCCAAAATACTAACTACTAACTAGGTACTAACTAAGTAACACCGGGCAGGTTATCAAGAGGCCCTTCTACTAACGCAAGGTAGGAATGATGACTGGAGCAGTGACTGAGAAGGAAAAAAAATCAAAGTTGAAATAATTGTGCAGCAGACTTCTCTGAGCTCTGTAGCTGAATGGCTTTCTGGAATGGGGAGGAGACATAATTACAGCAGAATTCTGAGCAGGAGTCAGCCTGTGGGGGATGACACACAGCCAGTGGAGGGAAGGACTTAAGTATTGGCAAGCTGAACATTGAACAACTGCAATTTTTCCCTAGCAGTGGGAGTCAGAGCTATGACTCTGGGAATCCCAGGCCATTGATGGAATGAGACCCACAAGATTAACCAGGCAGCCAAGGCAGCCAAAGATGACTGAGAACAAACAGTAGCTGAGGGAATGAGAAGGGAGGGCAAAGAAGGAAGTTGTTTAAAATACAAAGAGAGCGAGTGAGAGAGCTGCGCCTAAAGTTGCACCGCCTGTTATGGTGACGCACTGAGTGCTTGAGCTGCGCCTAAAGTTGCACCGCCTGTTATGGTGACGCACTGAGTGCTTGAGCTGCGCCTAAAGTTGCACCGCCAGTTATGGTGACGCACTGAGTGCTTGAGCTGTGGCTACTCCAAAGATGTGCTGAGTGTAAAACACACCTCATGACTTCAAGACTCAGTAGAACAGGGTCTTTTTCTTCTGTTTGGATAGCCAAGGCTACTTTTGTATTCTAAATCCTTCTACCTCTGTGGCCCAAATTCAGGGATTACAGGTGCACATTACCAAACTCAGATGTAAAATAATTTACAAAAGAATGTAATCTTATTGACACGGGTTATAGTTTGAGATGTTTTTCATATTAAATAATATTCATATGTGGTTTAACTTATATATGTATATATATATATATACATATAAATCTCAGAACCTTTTTAGTATGGATTCTAGAGAAATCACATGTAGGAAAATCAATTGTATGTGTCTCACACATTTCTGTAACCCAAGGCTACTCTGGAAGAAACAAGCCCTTCTTTTAAACAAAACAGGTAGACGAGAAGTTCTGGGGACCTGGAAAGGATGTCTTCATGTTGGAACAGCCAGGATAAAAGACTTATGGGAAGGGACACAGTAAAAGAATGAGCATGTGAGACCTGGCTTATAAAAAAGGGGAAGGGAGGGGAGGGAGTAAAGGCTGTAAAACCAAAGGATCTGCTCTCCCCAGAGGGAGTTAGATGTGGGCAGATGAGGCTAGGACATCCTCGGTGGCTCCAGCGATGGGGAGCGGGGCAGAAGACAAAGGGAGATGAGGGAACAAGGACAGAACAAGAGGGAACAAGGGATTCAGAGCCTAAGCTCCAAATGAAGGTCCAGGCTGAGCGAGAAGAGGGACTCGCCTCCTCCGAGAAGAGAAGGAAGGAGGTGAGCGTTTCAGGCATGTAGGAAGGAAAGCATTATAGGGAGAGAGAAAGGCCAGTCAAGACAGAGCAGTACACACGGTTTCTGTGTTGTCAGTGACAGAGCAGGGCAAAGCCACCTGCTGAGAAGACTGTGGGGCAGCGTGCTTACTGGTAGAGGCCTGCAGACCGCCAGAGATAAGATGAGAACATTAGAGCTGGCGATATGACATCTCTGGGTGTGGCAGTGCATTGACAGATTTTCAAGACAGCAAAGAGGAGAGGCAGATGTAAGAAAATATGCAGGGATGGCCAATGGGCCCAGGGCAGGGGTATTTGAGTAGAAAAGTAGGCCAGGAGAAGGATGGTAAGATTAGGAGAGAGAAGCGGGGTGTCTAAGCACTGAGCATGGTCAGCTGTGCTGTGATGAGGAGTCTAAAGGATGGAGTTGGTGGAGCTCAAAGGAAAAAGTTGTAGGTGATGATGTCACCATGGATGGCAGCAGTACAGTTGGCCAGGTGACCGCTGGTCAAGCTCCTTGGATGGAGGTAGATGTAGGAGCAGAGTCAGGGAGGTGGGCTGGAGTGGGAATGGGTACTTTGGCACAAACTTCGAAGGAGTGGATGGGACAGAGAAGATCCCATTCATAGGAACATCCTGGCCCGCACTGCACAGCCCATTCATGCTGGCAAAGGTCTTCTTAGGCACACATTTTGACCACATAGCAGAAGAGAGAGAAACTGTCCCAATGCCACCCAACCCCTTCAAATAGAGTCTCTGAGCTATTCCAAAACACTCAAACCAAATCCCATCACAGCCTTTGAAAGCTGCCCCCTTTGTCAGAGGAGTGCTTGCTTAGTTTTAATGCTTTTATTTTTCCATCTCCAGGAGTAAGTCTTTCAAGTAATTACATGGGACGGTTTCCTGGGTACACTAATCATTAAAAACACATACTAGCACTTTACTTCTGGGTTTTTATGCCTTACTACTCTAGAAAAGACTGGCTGTTCTAATTTTATAAATTATCAGTTATATATAGAAATCACTGCTTTGTTTCAAACCAACATAAAACCCCAAGGGGTTTGCAGAAAGAAAACCCTTTATGAAAATAGCATTAAATTCACTTACAAGTCAACTGTTCAGTTTTCGGTGATCTCCACCTAAACATAGGCCTTGGAAATGATTGGTTCTAGCATACTTTAGCTTTAGTTTATTCCATCCACCTTTATAAAAAACAAGAATCTGGCTGCATTCTGCTTGCTCAGAATAGTTACCAGGGCGGATTTTTCAGAGGAAGTCCCTGGTAGTCAGGGGCCTGCTTCGACAGTCACTCTCCCACCAGGAGTTAGCAAAACACAGGCAGCCTCAGGTCTCCACACAGCCTGCTCTGCTGCGAACTCCCTCTTCACTAATGGAACGGGAACTCAGTGCTCCCTGCTTACTGGACTATGCCTCCAGTGAGGATTTAGCACGATTCAGGGGGCTC